CATCAGCTACATCTTTAATCTAATTCCAGTGCCACGAGTCTGGCCCCCATCCACACAGCCCTCACCTCTATTTTCTTGAGGACGAAATGCTCGCCCAAAGAAATCAGTTGAGAGCCACTTACAAAAATAGCACTTTACTCTGGGTGCGAGGGGGAGAGGGTCTAGGACAGGGTAGGATGGGCTTAGAGCAGGTAATTCCATCCCTGACTGCTCAGGATAATCACCTGAGGTGCTTTAGAAACTACTGGGGCTTGGTTTCCCCCCAATAAATGATGATGATGATGATTTCACTGGTTTGGGGTATGGTCTGGGCATTAGGACTTCAAAACACTTCCTTCCTTTCATATGTACCGGGGCTAGGCATATCGACTTCTGACATCCTAAGGGCCACTGTGGGGAAGACGGTTCTGTGAGGCCCCAAGGGTCAAAACTTGTGCTAGGTTTGAGCTCAGCATGGGGAAGACCTGCTCGCAAGTTTTGCTGAGCTGACGCCTCACAAGGCAACGAGCTTTGCAGCTTTAGCAGAAATGCTGTGGGGAGTCAGAAAGGTGGGGCTTGTCCCAATCTCTGGGTGCTAGGATTATGGGAATCAGAGAACTCCCAGGCCAAGGGGCAGAGTTAGAGAGATCAGATACACAGTATCGACGAAGAGGATGGACTTTGACATCAGAGCTAAGTTCAANTAGGATTATGGGAATCAGAGAACTCCCAGGCCAAGGGGCAGAGTTAGAGATCAGATACACAGTATTGACGAAGAGGATGGACTTTGACATCAGAGCTAAGTTCACATCACGGCTCCGTCCCTTCCTAGCCACTTACGTGGTCACCTTAGTCAAGACAAGCACCAGCTTCCATGTCTGTGACGTGCAGAGCAGCGTCCTTGCCTCATCGAGATACTGTGAGGGATGAATCATAGCACATTTAGCGTCAGCAAGTGGTACCTGTTGAATTTATTACAAGAAGTCTTTGGCCCGGGCTGGGTCGCACAGTGGGTTAGAGCGTCATCCCGATACACCAAAGGCTGCAGGTTTGATTCCCGGTCCGGGCACATACAAGAACCAACCAGTGAATGCATAACTAAGTGGAACAACATATCAATGTCNCCAAAGGCTGCAGGTTTGATTCCCGGTCCGGGCACATACAAGAACCAACCGGTGAATGCATAACTAAGTGGAACAACATATCAATGTCTGTCTGTCTGTCTGCCTCTCTTCCTTCCCCTCTCTCTCTCTTGTCAATAAAATATAAAAGAAAAAAAATCTTCACCGGTTGCTGACTGCCTTATACTCAGCTGACTCTCAAACTTGGTAGAAAATTTTCTCTTCCTCTCTTTTCAAAAACTCCCTCAATTTCAAAGGCATTTGAGGGCAAGGAATAGAGGAAATGAAGAAATAAATAAAATAGCTCTCTCGGATTAAACATCAGCCTCAAGGCAGGAAGGAAATGGTGACTGTCCCGTGTGTCCTCCCGGGGTCAGTGACTTCATGCGCACTGGAAAGATTGCCTCAAATTGGGTTGCTGGATTTCTCCCCATGACCCAAAAGAGTTGGGCAAAGAGAAGAGCTACTCGTCGATGCCAAGATGGCAAATATGTCACAGATGATGGCTTGCAAGGCTCTGGGAATCAGACAACAGCATGTTAGTTTTTATATTTCTTTCCCCCAAATATTTGACAAAACTGTTCATCAAGAAGCCGTCAGGTTGAAACACAGATGTTGGTGGTAAGGAATCCCGGCTGCCGTCACATCTGCTCCTTCCTGGGAGTTTCTGAAGTTCAGGGCTGGCTGGCTCAGTGAAGCTACCTCCCGGGGAGGGGGGTTTTATACGCCGCAGGGTCTACAGGTTGCTGTGCAGACGCCAGGGGGCCGAGCCCACCTTCAGGAGAGCAGAGGACAGGTTTTCTTCCCATCGCCTGGGTGCAAATGTCTTCAGTCCATTTTTAATGCAGGTCTCCCACTGGGTGTTAAGTAGGAGTCGGTCAGGGCCCTGAAGGGACCACTCTGTCAGGAACGGAGCAGGAACGGCTCGCCCAGGTGGGGGCCAGAGAAGGCTTCCCACAGGGGTCATTTTGAAGGATCATTAGCCAAGGGGTGGGTGTCAGAAGCCAATTGCTGCAATGGTCAAAGGCATGAAAGAGACCGGGCAGTGCCTGTGGGTGTTTCCCAGCTACACAGGTGGGCGAGCACGAAGCAGAGTGACTGGTGGGGCTGTAAAGAAGGCTTTGAATGCCAAGTAAGACAGCAGGGACTCTCCTGAAGGGGGACCATGAAAGGTTTTAGGGAGAGACAGGGTCAATCAGATGTACATTTTTAAAGATACTTTGTGAGGGCCCTGGCTGGGTAGCTCGGTTGGTTAGAGTGTTCTCCCAAAATGCCAAGGTTATGGGTTCAATCCCCGGTCAGGACACATACAAGAATCAACCAATGATGCATAGGTAAGCAGAACAGCAAATCGAGGGGTTTCTTTCTCCTTTCCTCTCTGTCTCTAAAATCAATCAATAATGACAAAAAAAAAGATGTGGAGCAGAGAACGCACTGGAGGCGTACATACCACGATGAGCCAGACCGTTGGGGTCTGCGCACTCCCACCGAGCCTGTGGTGAGGACACTGTGAGGCTGACCCACTGCAATGGAGCCGGGACTTCGATGAGCACAGCCCTTCCGACTGATGAGACTGTGGTCCTCTGGGCAGGTGTGGTGGCTGAACAATGGCCCCCACAGATGTCCACCCGCTGATCCCTGGAACCTGTGACTATGTTACCTTACATGAAAAAAAAGACGCTCTTGCAGGTGTGATTTTAGTTAAGGATCTTGAGATGGGAGAGTCTCCTGGTTTATCTCAGTGGACCTGATGGAATGACAGAGTCCTACAGAAGGGAGGAGGGAGGTCAGAATTAGTAGTAGCAGCAGTGACATCGGAAACAAGATGACAAAGGATGCAAGGATGGGGCCAAGAGCCAAGGATGAAGGTGGTTTCTGGAAGCCGAAAAGGCCAGGAACAGACTCTCCCCACAAGGACTCCCTGACGGAACCAGCTTGCCGACACCTTGGCTTTAGCCCCCTGAGATGGGTTTTGGCCTTCTGACCTTCAGAACTGCAAGAGAATAATTGTTAACAGCCTTAAGCCACTCTGTTTGTGGTGATGTGTTACGACAGCCCTAGGAAACTCCTACGTATTAGACGCATTTTCCAACATCGCTCCACCGGCTCAAAGGATCTCGGAAAAATTTACTGAGGAATGGCCAGTGGAACCGACGATCTGTCCACTCTTTTGAACAAACATCCTCAAGTGATAGTATGCTTCCCTTTTCGATTAGCCAGGCAAATATTTATTGCAGCGACAAGCATCAGGCACTGTGATGGTTAAAATGTGGAAAAACGTGTGCTTTTTTGCAGGTAGCTCCCAGGTGAGGAATGAAGCCCAAGTGAGCCCACAAACCTCAGGAACTAAGGCAGAAAGTGAACATCCTCAGAGGCTCCCAGTGCAATGGTGGGTAAAAGGGGGACGGCACCTGTGGGAGGAACATCAGGGAGTTGGTGGAAATCTGCCTGGGTTTTGGCTGCTAGAGAGCGGGGGTGGGACTGAGGGGGCCCTGGTGGAGGCCTGGAACGAGTGAAGGCACAGATGCAGAAACGCATTTAGTGTTGTGGATTGAATGGTGCCCTGTATCTACTATGTATAGGAAGGAACAAAATATCTACAGGGGTCTGCGCTATCATTTTCAGGCATCCACCTGGGGTCTTGGAACAGCCCCTGCGGATAAAGAGGGACAAATGTAGCCCTGGCCAGTGTCGCTCAGTGGATCGGGCATCGTCCTGTGCACTAAAAGGTCTCTGGTTTGATTCCTGGTCAGGGCACAGGCCCAGGTCGAGGGATCGATCCCTGGGTGGGGGTGTGCAGGAGGCAGCTGATCTATGTTTCTCTCTCTCTCTCCCTCTCCCTTTTTTTCCTCTCTCTCTCAAAAACAAACAAACAAAAAAAAACTATTAAATAAAGGGCTCATGGGAAATAGAGTTGAACTTGAAAAGGGGGGTGGGGAGGGACAACTGTACTACAAACAGCACGCGCGTCTCCTCTTACCTGTCTTCTCGCGCACGAGCAGGAAGCTCTCGGGCAGGTGCTCGGAGCAGCGACCGCTGAGTCACAGGTCTGTTTGTTCATCGCTGACGTGCGGAGATGTTGCCTCACTCTCCAGAGCTGCTGTCCCGCGTCCAACAGCAAGAGGAGTTCCTGTTTCCTCTCATCCTCAATCGCAGCTGTGTCACCAGACTCAGTAAATCTGAATTACACAGTTATATCCTGTTTGAATGACTAGTGAGGCTCGGCCTCTCCTGACACACCTCGTGCCGTGAGTTCCTATGAACTGACAAATCAAACCCTTCGGTTATGTAGCCAAGGAGCCGTGTTTCTCATATTGATTTTTATGAAAGCTTCATATATTCTGAACACTCCCCGAATATACTACTTTGTTGGGAATCTATATTGCAAACACTTTCTGCCACTTTAGGGGTTGTCTTTTCTGTTTCTTTAAGCCAGTTTTTTTTTTAGTGAGTTTGAACATATCGGTATTGTATTTCATCTTTTGTGCTCTGGGTGCCTCGTTTAAGAAATTCCTCCCTAACTTGATTTCACGAATCCATTTTCCTAGGTTTTTTTTTCTAAATGTTTTACAGATACGGCTTTTTAACATTCAGCTGTTTCCATCCACATGGGATTTTCCCCTTTCGTATACTGTATTCTGCATATTGTGTAAGTTCAGGACAAAGTTGCTTTTTTTCCTATGTGCTTTCCCCTGGCACCAAGTAACAATCTCCTTTCTGAAGGTGTATTTCTAGGGTCTCTGCTGTCGCTGGTCCTACATGTAGGCCTACTTCCCTCTCGCTGCACTTTTAATTGTATGGCTCCCAAGTGCCTGCCGGGCCGAATGCTCCACTTTTCTCCAAGACCTACCCCAACTCCAAAGGTAGGGCCCATTCAGTTACAAAGTTGGCCTGGGCTAGTCACTGTTCAAAGCAAAGTCATTTTTACTGCAATGAAGTTTTAAAAGGCCGTTACATTCGTTACACATATACACAACCGACTTAATAACCGTTAGTCATCGAGAACATTCAAGAAATACAAACGAGGATTGATCCACGGCACAGTTCACAAGCAGGGGAAGAAAACTGAGCAGAGAGATGATTAAGAGCCGAGACCGTCCACTGAAGCTCGTCCGTGGAATCTCGAGTCTCAGGAGGAAAATGAGATTGTTACAAGAAGCAGTCGTCCTGTTACGGCCACCTTCCCAGTCAGCACCCAGCTCTGGCCACGAGCCCCAGGCACATGTGACAGGGACCCCTTCACGCTGCCAGGGACCCAGGCAGTGGAGGAAGTGAGGACAGCAGGAGGCCCCTTCGGACACTAGACCGAGTTTGGGTAGAAGAAGGGGAGCGGGGAAGACCCCCGGCCAGTCAGGACACAGTGACCTAATGACAAACCCATATTACTTGGTAAAACAAACAGTGTTTCTACCATGACCTGTTACTGCCTACAGCTGTTAAGTAACCGGCTTGGCCTTGCTAATGGGACAGGTCCTCGCTGTCACTGTTAGCGAGCAGGTGGGTGAGAATCCACTGTCCTGTCCCAGCCCGAGTGCTGACATGAACAAGCACATCACTCGATGCCTGGGGCCTCCTCTCTTGGCCAAGGCGAACAGGAGCTCTGAGAGTGGCAGGGGTGCTAATCTGGGGAACACACAGCCTCTTTATGGTCACAAATAAAGACGCCTGGCTTTCAGTCGCCCACAAACCTTCACCTCCCAGGACCAGTGCTTGAGTTGGGCTGAGTTTCAGTGAGAGGAAGAGGCGAAAGGTCCCGGGAGCAGACCGTCTCCTCTTCACTTCGCCGCCCCCAGTGCCCAGCACAGACACAGGCACACGGCAGCCCATGGCCAACGGGTCAACCTCATGAGCCACCTCAGAAAACCCCCAAGTACCCTCCAAAAAACAGAAGGAAAAACAAATGCAAAAGCCCCTGAACTTCCCAACTTACAGGCTAAAGGCCACAGTCTGGTTTCGTGCCTTTTTTGGAAATAATTACGCCCACTTGGCTGGGCCAGCTGCAGGAGGTGAGGCAGAGGGGGCCCAGCCGGGCGGCACAGGGAAGCTCTCCTGGGTCTGGTACTGCCAGGGTGGGTGGAATTTCTGCCTCCTGCCACCTCCCCCCAAGCCAAAGGCTACTGAGGGAGATGGGACGCCACCTACATCTGAACTAGGACCACTTAGCCCCATTTACAAAGGATGAAAGCCAAGACGCCCTGCAAACTAAAGTCAGGGTTAATTCTGAGTCACGCAAAGGTGCTGCTGACCGAGGGCATCCCACCCACCAATGGTGGACTTTACAGGTGCAGCTCCCCAAGCAAGCTGGGCCCAGGGGTTGCCGGACAGGGCTGGCATGGGGCTCACCCCCTAGACTATCTCCAGAGCCACTGAGCAGAATGCACTGCACCCCCCCACCCCCAGGCTGGTCCTGGAAGCCACCAGCAGCACAGGACAAGAGGCCTCAACACCCCCCTTCCCACTCACAGCTCCATACAAGGGCCTCTGTGACTCCTAGGCAAGCCTCCTGCAGGCTCTGGGCTGCATAAGGTCCACTCTCACCAATGGAGGAAGGAGAAACACAAGCCCTCCAGCCTGGTGCCCAGACCCTTGGCCAAGCTTCCTGAAGTCAGGGTGCTGCTGGGCAGGAGGGGGTGGGGGCCACACATTGGGGCTCACAACATACCCTGGACTGGAGATACTCACCCTGTCCACACACAGCAGACATGGGCACAACACAGCCCACGTCACACTGCACACAGTACACGTCCCACATACGTGAGGCACACAGGCCTGCTGAGCTGAGGCAAAGGGTCTGCGTCCACCCGTTCCCACGCCCCTCGCCTCCAGCTCACAGGACACAGGCTGTGCTTCCTGCTCCCCTCTGAGCCCCACCCACAAAAGACAAAGGCGAGAAAAAACCTGGTCCCAGCTTCCTGGGCAGGCCTGGGGTGGGGGTGCTTGGGCACTCTGGGCTGTAACTGAACATTTTATAAGTGAAAATTGTCTATGATGAGATTATACACAACCAGGTTTTAAGGACGCAGTGGCCTCGCCTCCCAAGGACACACAGATACGACACAATAAATACAACTGACCCCCAACGTCTACCAGGGCTCCAGTCTGCGGCTGAGCAGCCGTGGCTGCGGGTTAGAGCTGAGCGATGCTGTGCCTGGGGGCGTGTGGGGGGTGAGGCGCTTTCTGCTGGGCAGTCCTGCGGCAGGGCGCGTGGGGCGAGGCTCAGCCCCACTCACATGGGCATCCTTGTCACAGCCTGGGTGGCTCTGTGCTGCGGAAGCCTCGCTCTGCCTGAGGCTACTCAGAAAACGGCGGGAACATGCCCAGGTCGGCGAAATCTTCGATGTTGTAGTTGCCGGTCCCCTGGGTCGGGTCTCCTGGCATGGGCAGCATGTCCTGCAGGGAACATACAAGGAAGCCGCAGGGGAGTTGGGCACCTGCACGTCCCACTTACCCTCCCGGTCACGTCTCTAATGGGGGAGGCCGGGAGTATCCCCACCCCCAGGGACACTCTGCAGGGCTCCTCAGTGTCTGAGACCCTGGGAAGCTGCTCTCTCCTGGGGGCTGTCATTCCCACAGGTAAACACGACTGTAGGTTACAACCTTTGTCTGTTTAAGGCTGAGCCAGGACACAGAGTAGACAAGGGCCTCGCTGGAGGGAGAGCCCAGCCTGGCTCCGACCAAGTAAGCACAGTCCATGGTCAAAATGCAGGAGGAATACAACAAAGGGAGGGGCAGAGGAGGCCTTTGGGGGTCAAGGCCCTGTGTATGGGGACGGTGGGGCCAAAGTCCAACAGGGTTAGACTTCTCTTTTAACAAGTCCTTCAAGTTCTCTAGGCCTCAGACTACCCATCGAGACAATGGGAGTGGCTACATTTTAACCCCTTATGGCAAATTATCCAAAGCAAGTTCTGTTGACTTCTCAGGCCATACTCTAGGAGAAAAGAATTCTATGGACAAATAAGTTTTGGAAACAAGGCATACTTTACGTTCCTCCTAAAAATCCTCAGTCCTCATTAGTATAAAGGCTCTGATAAGTCCTGCAGTCCAGAAACTGAGTCACTGTTTAACCAGTGTTTCACAAACTTACTGGACCAAGAATTCCTTTTAGCATCATGACCATGAAGAGCCAGGTCTGGGAATTCCGTCCTGCACGGCTACTGGGAGGCAGTAAGGATGGGCAAGGCTGAGCTTTACAGAGGGAGGAAAGGGGCGACCACTGCAGGCCAGGGGAGGCCAGACTCAGGCCCAGGCAAAGTGCTTCTCTGCATATTTAAAAGGATTCTGTCCTTTGGAGATCTGGCATGACATCTGGGTTCTAGACCTTTGTCTATGAAGATACTGCTTGACCTGGTGGAAAGAGCGTGGGATCAAGGTGGGGTTGATCAACAGCTGGACCTTGAGAAAGGGGATTAGGATCCTGGGCATCTCAACCCCTCCCACCATGTGCCTCCTGCCCCATCCCTGCTTTACAGGGCAGGCCTGGGGCTCTGGGCATGGCAGGGGCACCTGGCCTGCTAGGAGGTGCTTCTCCCTCAGGCAGACTTGGCTAGGGGCAGACAGTGGATTCAGGCCCCCATTTGGAGCCTTGTCCCTTTGGGAGCTTTTCTGGCTAAACATGGAGTCAAGAAGACCCCACGGGGGCGGGGTCCTGCTCTGCAGGCTGCTGGCCATGTCCACTGCAGGTGTACAGCGCCTGCCTGACACCAGGGGCGGGCCAGGAACATCTTAAACAACGGAGGCTGCAAGGTGCCCAGGTTTCCTCAACCGGGAAGACCTGAGCCTTCAGCCCTCGACCCTCTCGTCAGGGCCACGACTGGGGCGAGAACTCAGGGCGGCCACAGCAGCAGTGCCCCGGGGGAAAGGAAGCAGAGAGAAGGCGCGGGTACCTACGAGAAGGCGGCGGTCGCTGGATTTACCTGGAACACTTCAGTCTGACCGGGCTGCTGGTGCGCGTGCTGCTCACCGCTCTGCTGGCCGTGGTGCTGGCTCTGCCACTGGGACCAGACTTCCGAGGGCCGCCCCTGGAACTGCCCGCTACCTTGTCCACTTTCAGCTGGAAGAGCCGAGGGACAGGACACCATCACCACCGTGGGGGAGCTTCCTAAGCCCCTCCCTTCCTGCTGGGGCCTGGATTGTGCCCCCCAGATTCACATGCTGAAGCCGTAACCCCCAGGATGTCAGAATGTAACTATATTTGGGGTTAGGAATTTTATTTTATTTTATTTTTTTATTATTTTATTTTTTAAAATATATCTTTATTGATTTCAGAGAGAGGAAGGGAGAGGGAGAGAGAGAGAAACATCAATGATGAGAGAGTCATGGATCGGCTGCCTCCTGCACGCCCCCGACTGGGGATGGAGCCCGCAACCCGGGCATGTGCCCTGACCAGGAATCGAACCCCGGTCTCCTGGATCCTAGGTCGACGCTCAACCGCTGAGCCACGCCCGGCCAGGCTGGGGTTAGGAATTTTAAAAAGGTGATTAAGGTAAAATGAGGTAACAAGGGTGGACTCTAAGCCAATAGGACGTCCTTAAAAGAAGAGATTAGGACACAGACAGACACAGAGGGACAACCATGTGAGGACACAGAGAGAGAACAGCCATCTACCCGCCAAGGAGAGAGGCCTCAGGAGGCCCCCACCCTGCCGACACCCTGATCTCGGACTTCCAGCCTCCAGGACTGTGGGGAAGTAGTGCTGGCTGTTTAGGTATCCAGTCTGTGCAGTCCCAGCAAACTAATGCAGTCCCCTCGAGCTCCATGTCCATCTCTGCCTCCCTTTCCCATCAAGCGTGTAAAGCCATCGAACACAGCAATTTCTTGCCTTTCAACCTTCCCTGCCATCACTCCACAGCCCAGCCTGCATGTCCAAGCCCAGCCCAGCAGGTATCCGGGGCTCTCATCCCAATTTCTCCTGGGCATCCGCACTGCTGACCACCGTCTCTTTGCAACTGCCCTGACTTCTAGGATGACATCTGAGGTTGTGGCCCCACAACCTCCTCGGCTGCCCCCTGGTTCTTGTGTGTGTCTTTGAACCTGCACATACGCTAAAAGCAGGGCTCAGAGCCAGGCCTTGCCTTTTATCAGCAGATAAGACATGGAGGCAACAAACACACACATTCTCTCATCTGTCTTCCTCTGTGGCAGCAGGGACAGGGGCGGGGAGCGGGTGGAGATCAGAGGAAACTCAGCCCTCTATTTTACTCTGGGGGGGTCCCTGAGTCTATTAATTACAGATACAAAATTGCAGAGTAAGAATTCTTAAATGCCTGGGAAGGAAAATGCTCTTTTTCCATGTGTGCAATTAACTGGGTGGCTTTAGAAATGGCATAAACTAGTCAAGGAAGGAGAAAAGGCCTTAGTACTTTTGAGCACTATGTGCGGGCACCATGCTAGCTTCTTTCTATATATTATTTCATTTTCTCTTCACTCCGACTCTAAGAGATGGGTCCATTGCCCACTTTTCAGACGAGGAAACTTGGGCTCAAATATCTCAAGAAATCTACACATAAATGTGTGTGTGTGAAACTGCCATTTCAATTTTTTTTTTTTAAGGAATAGTTCACTGATTTTGTAGAGAGAGAGGGAGGGAGAGAGAGAAACATTGATTGGCTGCCTCCTGCATGCCCCCTGCCAGGGATCAAGTCCACAACCTGGGCCTGGGAAGACTGGGCAACAGGACCTAACTGAAGTCTCCTGGAAGAAGTTATGCCCAATGACAGGTGAGTTCACTGGCTGCTCGATGGAAGAGTGCCAGGGGAAAGCCCTCCTTCCAGCCCCTGCGACTGAGCTACTTTCTTTCTGACCTGCATTCGTGACCTCTCTGACTAAATAGTGGGCCATCAGCACAACATAATCTCTCCTGGATGCAGAGCATTGTGGGTCCTCAGGCGAAACCTTGGCCCGGACTGACCTGCACCGAACAGGGGATGCGGGTGGCCTACCCCACAAGCTGCACCCACAAGCCTCTTTCTGGAAAAAGCCCCAGTGGATGCTGGAGGGATAGCTGAGTCCTATGGAGGGACAGACAGGGGTCAGAAAATGCTGCAGCCCAGGACCTCGGGTTGAGGGGGCAGAATGCTGCTCTGGGGTTGGGGGGAGCTTGGGTGTTTGGGCTCAGCTCCCTACTCCCCAGGATATGCCCCCTGAGCCCCACTCTTGGATGTCACTTGGTGTTAGCCCTCGGAGAAGGTGGAACCAGCTCAGGCTTCTTGCCAGAGAACAGGTCCCTCAGCCTCTCCTATGTGGAATGGACCCTTGGCAGGGAGATGTGCTCAAGGGTCTCATGAAACAAGAGGAGTGAGCAATAGCCCTGGCCGGGGAGCTCAGCTGCTTAGAGCTTCGTCCTGATACGCCAGGGTTGTGGGTTCAATCCCCGGTCAGGGCACATACGAGAATCAACCAATGATGCATAACTAAGTGGAATAGCAAATCGATGTTTCTGTCTCTGTCTCTCTCTCTCCTTCCCTCCCTCCCCCTTCCTTTCTCTCTGTAAAATTAATTTTTTTTTTAAAAGAGGAGTGAAACAGCAAGGGTTCCTGTTCCTGGGACACGAAGCAGAAGGTGGTTACTCAGCCCTTTATGGCCTGAGGTTTTGTTAACAGAGTTAGGAAAGATGAACTTACACGGGACAGGATCCCTCTTTTAATATTAAAAAGAGAGAGAGCTCTAGGATATTTACTATTTACACAACTATTCTCTAGTTTTTCAAAATAAGACTATAGGATTTGTGACCTGGGGGTCCTGAAAGTCCTCGTGAAGGGCCACAAGGGTTAAAGTAGAATTTAGATGACATCAATGCAAGGCCTTGAACCTGGTAGCCTCAACCCACAAAGCCCAGGTCTAAGCAGCCAGTCTCTTAGGCAACCACAGGGCTCCTCAGAGCCAGAGAGAACAGGTGTTTAGAAACCTTCAGATCCGGTGCCAGGATGCTGGGAGCGTGGGCTCAGCTCTCCAAACTCGGGATGTGCAGAAGACATTTTTGCGCACTCTCCCAGAAATTCTTGCCCCCATTCGCCACCTACCGAACCCCGGAGTCCTGTTGGCCAGACTGGAGTAGGCATTCCCACTGGGCGAGGAGGTGGCCGGGCTGGAGAGCGGGCTGTAGGAGGAGGGGTCAGCTGGGTAGGTGTGGCTCGTTCCAATCCCAAAGGGGGACGACTGCGTCTTGCTGGACTGAGAGGGCATTTGCTACAATCAGGACAAAGCGAAGAGATGGGACGCGTCGATGGCAGGTCCCCGCCCTGTGCCCCAGGTTAGTCACTACCACCTGAAGATATGGTAGCAGTGGCAAGTACCTGTTCTGGGATGACGGGACCCCCATGGCTCTCTGGCCAGCTGGGCATAAGCCCGGGATCAGACCAACAAGTACGGGCCCAAGAACTGCAGGACTTGAGCCCTGGATCTTTGGGGCAGGTCAAAGTCACCCCCAGTACTACAGACACCCGGGTCCTCTGGCTTCTGGTTCCAGGGCCTCAGCTCCTTGAATACTGCCTTGGCTCGTGGTCCTGGGCACCCGGCTGTGCTCAGAATGGTCAGCTCCAGCTCAGAGCCAGGACGTGAAGACACCACATGCAGGTGCTCTGCCCTCCTGGCAGCCGTTAGCAGTGCCCTCACCGAGGCCCGTACCTGTCCGGGAAAGGGTGGCCGACTCCCTGTCCATGCCACCTGACTCTGGTTTAGCTGCCGGGAGATTTGGGACATGTTCTGGCCCGTCGAAGAGGATGACTGTATATCGTTCACTCCGGGCACATGAACCACTGAAGAGCTGGAAGAAAATACATTTGCCCTGAGACCCCGCCCAGCACATACCCCGCCTGGAACACCTCCTTCTCTGCCTCCCCCCCCCC